AATAATAATAACATATTTCATAGGTTTTGACCTCATTAATATGCTGTATTTATTTGCATGCTCAAATCTTTAGGAAGGTGCTTGGCTTCCCCTTCTCACCAAGGTTTGAGGCTATTCGTACAGGACTCTTGAATCCTGAAGATTTCCGAACAAGATTATTTCCTTAAATTTCTGCATCAACCTCCTCGTGATAGGTTTCTCTATACCAGTGATGGCGAACCTTTTTGAGACCGAGTGCCCAAACCGTAATACATGCCAATTTTTTTCCCCTCAAAGAGACAAAACGGCATTTAAACCTGAATATTGAGGTTTAAGTTTCGAAAAAACAACTCATACAGTTGTCCGAACTAATTAACATCTCTGTGTGTGTACTTAGCAGTCTGTCTGTGTACTTAGCAGTCTGTCTGTATTTAGCAGACTGCTGAATACACACACAGACTGCTAAATACACACACACACACACTGCTAAATACACACACACAGACTGCTGTGTACACACACAGACTGCTGTGTACACACACAGACTGCTGTGTACACACACAGACAGACTGCTGAGTGTACACACACACACAGATTGCTGAGTGTACACACACAGACAGACTGCTGAGTGTACACACACAGACAGACTGCTGAGTGTACACACACAAACAGACTGCTGAGTGTACACACACAGACAGACTGCTGAGTGTACACACACAAACAGACTGCTGAGTGTACACACACAGACAGACTGCTGAGTGTACACACACACAGACAGACTGCTGAGTGTACACACACACAGACAGACTGCTGAGTGTACACACACACACAGACAGACAGACTGCTGAGTGTACACACACAGACAGACTGCTGAGTGTACACACTGCATTGAGGGGTACATTGTATGTGTTGTGTGTGTGTGTGTGGGTGGGGTGATGTGATGTGTGGGTAGGGTGATGTGTGGGTGTCTTTGTGTGGGGTGATATGTGTAGGGCAGGGGTGCTGTGTGTATGTCGTCCCCCCTCACCCCCCGTCCCACACTCAGTTTTCTCCCCCTATACCTCCCTCAGTTCCCCCCCATCTCTCCCCTCAGTTTCCGTCCCATCTCTCCCACTCAGTTCCCCCTCCATCTCTCAGTTTAGCCCCCATCTCTCTCCCACTCAGTTTAGCCCCCCATCTCTCTCCCTCAGTTTCCCCCCATCTCTCTCCCACTCAGTTTAGCCCCCCATCTCTCTCCCTCAGTTTCCCCTCATCTCTCTCCCTCAGTTTCCCCCCATCTTTCTCCCCACTCAGTTTAGCCCCCATTTCTCTCCCTCGGTTCCCCACTCCATGGCTCTCCCTCAGTCCCCCCCCTCCCGCCTTGGCTCTCCCTCAGTCCCCCCCCTCCCATGGCTCTCCTCGGTTCCCCCCCTCCCATGGCTCTCCCTCGGTTCCCCCCTCCCTTGGCTCTCCTCAGGTTCCCCATAGCTCTCCCTCGGTTCCCCCCCTCCCACTTAGCTCTCCCCTCGGTCCCCCACTCCATAGCTCTCCCTCAGTCCCCCCCTCCCAGCTCTCCCTCAGTTCCCAGCGGCTCTCCCTCCAAGGTTCCCCATGGCTCTCCCTCGGTTCCCCCTCCCATGGCTCTCCCTCGGTCCCCCTCCATGGCTCTCCCTCAGTCCCCCCCCTCCCATGTGGCTCTCCCTCGGTTCCCCCACTCCCATGGCTCTCCCTCGGTCCCCCACTCCCATGGCTCTCCCTCAGTCCCCCCTCCATGGCCTGCCCTCAGTCCCCCCTCCCGCCGCTCTCCCTCAGGTTCCCCATGGCTCTCCTCGGTTCCCCCCTCCCATGGCTCTCCCTCAGTCCCCTCCCATGGCTCTCCCTCGGTCCCCCCCTCCATGGCTCTCCCTCGGTTCCCCCCCTCCCATGGCTCTCCCTCGGTCCCCCCCTCCCATGGCTCTCCTCGGTCCCCCCCTCCTGGCTCTCCTCGGTCCCCCTCCATGGCTCTCCTCGGTCCCCCCTCCCATAGCTCTCCCTCAGTCCCCCCCTCCCATAGCTCTCCCTCAGGTTCCCCATAGCTCTCCCTCAGGTTCCCCATAGCTCTCCCTCAGGTTCCCCATAGCTCTCCCTCAGTCCCCCCCTCCCTGAGCTCCTACCTTGTAGCGTGGCCGAGCGCACCGCGGTACAGGAACTTATGTTTCCATCTTCAGTTCCCCCCCATCTCTCTCCCTCAGTCCCCCCCCATCTCTCTCCCTCAGTAGCGTGTAGCGTGGCCGAGGGAGGGAGAGAAATGGGGGGCTAAACTGAGTGGGGGAGAGAGATGGGGGGGCTAAACTGAGTGGGAGAGAGATGGGGGCTAAACTGAGTGGGAGAGAGATGGGGGGGCTAAACTGAGTGGGAGAGAGATGGGGGGGCTAAACTGAGTGGGAGAGAGATGGGGGGAACTTATGTTTCCTGTACCCGGCGGACAGGAAGTGCTCTCTCTGTGAGCACTTCATTTCCGGCCGCCCGGGTACAGGAAACATAAGTTCCTGTACCGCGGTGCGCTTGGCCACGCTACACAGAGTGCCTGGCAGGAGGGAGCGCTGTGCGCTCACCTCCTGCCGGTCACTCCGGCTTTGCGCCCGCCGGGCCGGTGCACCCTAAGGCGGCCACTTGTGCCGCCATATGGATGCACCGGCGGAGCGCACGGCGACCTATGGCCGCGTGCCCACAGATGGGGCTCGGCGTGGCACGCGTGCCATAGGTTCGCCAACACTGTCCTAGAGCTACAAGCAATTTGGTTAGCCCTTTGTCACTTTGCCATCTTCTGGGTGAGTGTACAATACCTCTGTGGTCTCTTATTTAAATAATCATGAAGGCATGATGAGTCAAGCTCTAATATCCATCCTTCATCCTCTTAAGAATAAGGAGGATCGAGGAGAATGGTCATTATCAAATAAAGCTTTCCTTCATGTTTCAAACCTATAGGGGACTTCTTGGAAGGACTTAATGGCAACCTTTAGCAACAGGCAAGTTTACAGATTTGTCGAGAAGGTTTGAAACCCATGCAGAGGTGACAGATACTCCTAACAGTCCTTGGAGCTTCTAATTGGGATATACCTTACCTCCAGTCCCACTAATTTTTCTTCTATTCAAGAGGATTCAGAGGGAGAATTATTGTGATTACCTCATACTAGCCAAAGAGATGATGCAGAACAATACCTTTTGATAGGTTTTTGATACAAGGTTTGATTTTCAAAACAGCTTGATGAAGCGTATAACATGCTGATGATGTGCGCTTCTAGTTCCATAAGTGCAGAAACTTGTACTTTTAGAGTATGGAGTCCTACGCCCTTGTCCAAACATGTAAGAAGCTCAGTATATTAGCTGCAGAGGGGGATGACACATAAACTGAGTGTAAGCCAACCCATTTGGAAAAAAACATTCCAGATTCTGTAGTAAGCTGAGAATGTAGATATTTTCATTATATTAAGCAATGTAGAGACGACAAAGGATGATAATCCCTTTTCTGCTAAACGTGTCCTTTCCAATGCCGCGGGATGGAGAGATCGATACTATGGATGCAATACGAGATACTAAGACAGAAGATGAGGTTCTTTCAGTAGTTCCAGTGGTGGATGCTGCCAGAGGGACAGCAGAAGTGGAAGACAGGGTCACGGCGATCCCTCTCTCCATATGAAAGATGGGAGATCAAGGGTCTGCAGGTGGGCAGGACTTAATCCTACACCCAGATTGATACATTAATGGTCATTCTTGGCAGTGCTCCAAACCCAGTGAGACTTCACAAGCATGATCCATATCCCAAAACTGCTTCATTAAGCTAAAGTTGTTTTATTGACTATAGTGTCCCTTTAACGTGACATCAGTAGCTCCTTTTGTCATGGTTGAGATTTACCATAAGACAAAGAAGTCCCTGCTTACAGGGTGATTCACTAAAGTGAAAATACAAGTATTTTAATTTTTACTGTACTTATTGGCCCCCAGCAGCACCCTATTTAAGCATGTCTAGGTGAGTGCAGCCAACCCCTTGTTATATATATATATATATATATATATATATATATATATATATATTTATTTAGGAGTCTAGCCAACTCCTTGGTTTTGCACCCCTCCCTGTCACAGGTGCCTCAACACTATTTAGCCTTGTGCTGCAGAGAACTCGTGACGGAATTTTTTCCCCCCATGAAGCAGACATTTGGCTGTTAAGAGTATGACCTGCCAAAGATGGGGTACATTGACGTTGTGGCAGGCTTATGCAATGGATGATCATATAATGTAACTAAGACCCCATTATTGTTTGCTTAGATAAAAATAACAAAATCTGTCAGCACCAAAGTAGCTGTTTAGTGGATAAGGGAGCGCACTGTTTTTTTCATTTTTACTGTACTTGTTGGCCCCCAGCAGCACCCTATATAAGCATGTTTAGGTGAGTGCAGCCAATCCCTTGTTTTCTTAGTTACAAAATATGATCATACATTGCATAAGCCTGTTACAATGTCAATGTACCCCTTTTTTGGCAGGTCCTACTCAGGGCCAGATTAAGAGCCCAGTGGGCCTGGTGCTGACAATTATAAGCCTGGCATAAAAGTGTCCAATGATGCACTTGCTCCACTCTTTCTAAGGACTGTCCCCTAGCACTCCTTACCTTCTTACTAGCAAGCAGAAGCTCCTGGTATATAGTCTGGGACAGAAAAAAGGTGTATGTAGTGAGTGTAGAAGAAAGGGAACATGCTACAGTGTTAGAGAGACCAAAGTCAGCATTACCTAAACTAATTTCATTGTCAGCCAGTCCACACAAGTTTTGTTCCTCTAAATCCCTCTTAAGTTTCCATACTTAAGCAATAGTAGGTGAAAAGTAGTTAGGGTTGGCACCTTTCTTGAAAAATAAATACCTACTAATTTACTTAGTACTAATTTGCATAATACATTTTGTATGCGTGACATCACATGATGTAAATCACAAGAAGTGACGTAAGAGATAATTCTGTAAAATCCCCAAAACACTACTTACAGTTTGGTTCTACTATATATATATATATATATATATATATATATGGATTTTTCCCAGTGTCTCCCACTGTCTTAGTGTCCCTATGTATCACAGTTTTCCCATGTTTCCAGTATCCCCATGTCTCCCAGTGTCCCCTAGTTTCTCAGTGTCCCCATGTGTTCCAGTATCCCCTAGTCTCCCAGTCCCCTAATCTCCCAGTGTCTCAGTGTCCCCAGGTCTTCAGTGTCCCCTATGTATCACAGTGTCCCCTGTGTATCACAGTGTCTCAGTGCCCCATGTCTGCCAGTGTCCCCTCGTGTCTCAAAGTTGCCCAGTGTCCCCATGTCTCTCAGTGTCCTGTAGTGTCTCAGTAAACCCCTAGTGTCTGTGTCCCCAGGTCTCCCAGTGATCCTTAGTATCTGTTCCCCCATGTCTCCCACTAGGGGACCTAGAGAGACATTGGGACACTGTGAGACATGGGGCACTGAGACACTAGGGGACACTGGAGAAACTGAG